CATCACATGGAGAACCCGGGCCGTAGGTTTGAGTAACCGGGTCAAACCCTTCGGCCACGCTGTGAGGATCCTCAGTCACCTTAGGGAAGTCCCAACTAGAGTCCAGGGACTTAGGAAGCCTGGGGGTTATTAGCCCTCAGAGGGCTTACCTTTAAAGGGCCCCGTACAGGGGGGAGGGGGGAGTGAGAGGAGGTTCGAGCGGGGCGGGCACCGGAGGCGGGGCTGGAGCCTGAGGTATGGAGGCAGGAGTGGAAGCCAGATGGCTCCAGGGGTGGAGCCTAAGAAAGGGGAGTCCAGCAGGTAGGCAGGCCTGCAACAGAGGCAAGGAACCGGAGGCTTCCGAAGCCAAAAGCTGGCTGGGCCCTGGCCAGTGTGGCTTTGTGGATAGAGTGTCTGTAGACTCAAGGGTCCCAGGTTCAATTCCGGTCAAGGACATGAACTTGGTTGCAGGCACATCCCCAGTAGGGGGTGTGCAGGAGGCAGCTAATGGATGTTTCTCTCTCATTGATGTTTCTGGCTCTCTCTCCCTCTCCCTCTGTAAAAAAATTAATAAAATTGCCAGGACTGCTTTGGCTCAGTGGATAGAGCATCGGCCTTCGGACTGAAGGGTCCCAGGTTCAATTCCAGTCAGGGGCATGTACCTCGGTTGCAGGTACATCTCCAGTAGGGGGTGTGCAGGAGCCAGCTGATCGATGTTTCTCTCTCATCGATGTTTCTAGCTCTCTATCCCTCTCCTTTCCTCTCTGTAAAAAAATCAATAAAATATATATATATTTTAAAAAGCTGATTGGCTTCAGTTAATTCTAAAACCATTTGTGAAGAGGCAACCTCAGATTCCTGGTAATGTTTGGAAGCCTCAAAATACCACTCAAAATAGGTGTCCCATTTGGCAATTTCAGAGCTGCGGTTGTCCAATTAAACTTTTTAAAACGTTTGGATTGGATGCCAAAACCAATTTGACTCAGTGGTTGGAGCATCGTCCTGTGCACTGAAGTGTCCCGGATTCAACTTTGGTTAAGGGCATGTACCTTGGTTGTGGGCAATCCCCAGAGGGAGATGTGCAGGAGGCAGCTGATCAATGTTTCTCTCTCATCAATGTTTTTAACTCTTTATCTCTCTCCCTTCCTCTCTGTAAAAAAATCAATAAAATATATTTTTAAATAAAGTTTGGATGCTAGCCAGCATGGCTCAGTGGTTGAGCGTTGACATGTGAATCAGGAGTTGACATGTGAATCACAGTTCGATTCCCAGTCAGGGCACATGCCCAGGTTTGGGGATCAATCCAAATGATTTTCTCTCATCATTGATGTTTCTTTCATTCTCTCTTATTTAATATTTTTATTGATTTCAGAGAGGAAGGTAAAGGGAGAGATAGAAACATCAATGATGAGAATCACTAATTGGCTGCTTCCTGCGCCCCCTACTGGAGCCTGCAACCCAGACATATGCTCTTGACCTGAATTGAACCCAGGACTCTTTAGTCTGAAGGCTGACACTATCCATGGAACCAAACTGGCTAGGGCCATCATTGATGTTTCTTTCTCTCTCTCCCTCTCCTTTCCTCTCTGAAATCAATAAAAAAAATATTTTTTTAAAAAGTTAAGTTTTAGAATCTCAAATGTTTCCTGTAACTACCGAGAACCTAAATTACTTTTGGTCACATTGTCCATTTAGTTAAAAATGCACATGAGGAGAGGCTGTGGTTTTTATTATTTTTAAAATATATATATTTTATTGATTTTTTTTTTTTTTTTTTTACAGAAAGGGAGAGGGATACAGAGTTAGAAACATCCATTAGCTGCCTCCTGCACACCCCCTACTGGGGATGTGCCCACAACCGAGGTACACGCCCTTGACCGGAATTGAACCTGGGACCCTTGAGTCTACAGGCCGACGCTCTATCCACTGAGCCAAACCAGTTTTGGCAAGGACAGTGGTTTTTATTTTTTTTAATATATATTTTATTGATTTTTCACAGAGGAAGGGAGAGGGATAGATAGCTAGAAACATCGATGAAAGAGAATCATTGACCAGCTGCCTCCTGCACACCCCCTACCAGGGATGTGCCCACAATCAATGTATATGCCCTTCACTGGAATCAAACCTGGGACCTTTCAGTCTACAGACCGACGCTCTATCCACTGAGCCAAACTGGTTTCAGCAAGGACTGTGATTTTTAAACATAAATTCAGCCAGGGTCCACGTAGTCGGGAGACCTTGAAAATATTCAGATAACTGAGACCATAAGCTTTTCTCTAACTATGATCGGCAAACTACGGCTTGCGAGACACATGCGGCTCTTTGGCCCCTTGAGTGTGGCTCTTCCACAATATACCACGGCCTGGGCGGGTCTACTTTGAAGAAGTGGCGTTAAAAAAAAAGTTTAAGTTTAAAAAATTTGGCTCTCAAAAAATAAATTTCAATCGTTGTTGATATTCGGCTCTGTTGACTAATGAGTTTGCCGACCACTGCTAGGACAAGGGCCCAGTTAAATCAGCTTAAGCAACCTGCAGGCTCAGTCCTGGCCAGTCCCGCTGTGAGCAGTCTCCCGTTAGAACAGCCTGGTCATAGAAGGAAAGCCCATGGCCTGCCCAGGACAGAGTCTGCTGTCATTGCCCGCAGACCCAGGGGAAGGGCCTGTGACAGAGCACCCACCTCGGTAAGCAGAGGTTGGAGAAGGCCTCTGGAAGAGGCTGCCTCTGGTGCATTTTATTAAGGGAAACCCCATAGCGGACTGCGGGTGGCAGCGAGATGCGTGGATCCGGGCACCACTCAGCAGGCACTGGACAGCTATCCTGGGCACCGGGAGTAGTCACAGCGCAAGTTCGTGACTCTTCCCCGTGCAAGTAACCCGGCCCACAGCGGGAGGCAGGGGGTGATATTGCCTCGTTTCAGAACAAACACCATCGTTCTCCTCCCCACCTGGCCAATGGCTGGACGACAGTCTCAGTGGGGCAGTCTGGTTCCAGACAGAAGCTCACTGACAAGCCGTCCCAAGACACAGCCTGGCCCCCCAGGGATGAAGCCAACGTGTCAAACGAGAGCCCAAACGACCATGGCCTTCTAACAGAAAAAAAAAATAGCCCTGACCGGTTTGGCTCGTGGATAGAGCATCGGACTGTGGACTGAAGGGTCCCAGGTTCGATTCTGGTCAAGGGCATGTACCCTGGTTGCCGGCACATCCCCAGTGGGAGGTGTGTAGGAGGCAGCTGATCTATGTTTCTCTCCCATCAATGTTTCTAACTCTCTATCCCTCTCTCTTTCTCTCTGTGAAAAAAAATCAATAAAATACATTAAGAAAAGAGACAAGCCGAAACCTGTTTGGCTCAATGGATAGAGCGTCAGCTTGGGGACTGAGGGGACCCGGGTTCGATTCCGGTCAGGGCATGCATGTACCTTAGTTGAGGGCATATCCCCAGTGGGGTGTGTGCAAGAGGCAGCTGATCGATGACTCTCTCTCATCGATGTTTCTCTCTCTCTCTCTCTCTCTCTCTCTCTCTCTCTCTCTCTCCCTTCCTCTCTGTACAAAATCAATAAAATATATATTTTTTTAAAATGAAAAAGAGACAAAACCCCCGAAAACTCTAAACAGATCCCGAATCAAGCCCAGAGAGCTTCAGAACACAAAAGCAGAAGGTCGGACCCGGGAGAACTTACCCTGGAGCTCCCGAGCCGAGGAGGAAAACGAGCTCAGCTGGATCTGTGGGCGCCGCACCTGTTTGCTCCCCAGACCTGGAGCTATGGGGACCAGGGGTCTCTGGATCCCAGGTGAGCCCCAAACAGGCCGGACGTAAGTGAAAAGTCGGCCGGGAGTTCATTCACCAAAAAGGATATATTTAGGGGTAAAACCAAACAAAACAGCCGAAACCAGTTTTGCTCAGTGGATAGAGCGTCGGCCTGCGGACTGAAGGGTCCCGGGTTCGATTCTAGTCAAGGGCATGAACCTTGGTTGCGGGCTTAATCCCCAGTAGGGGGTGTGCAACAGGCAGCTGGTCGATGTTTCTCTCTCATCGATGTTCCTAGCTCTCTGTCCCTCTCTCTTCCTCTCTGTAAAAATCAATAATAAAATATATTTTTAAAGAAACAAACAAACAAAACAAGCCTGTAGGAACAGCCATGGCCAGTCCGGTTGCGGTTTCCGCCCGGAGGAAAATGGAGGAAGCACATTCGAGAGCGGAAGAGGAAGTGAAGGATAGGACCAGCCACCACGTGGAGCTGGTGCTGAGCCAGAGCCGTCCCCGCGGGGTTCTCCCCACGGCGGGGGTTCGAGAGCGCCTCCCGCGGCTCCCTCTCGGGCAGGGGCTCCGTCCTAAGTGCTGACACTGACGCCATCTAGGCTTCCTCTCCAGACTCGCCCAAGACGTTATTCAGTGTGACACTGCAGGGCTCCCGCGGGAGGGCGGCGGCAGGCCGCGGCGCCCGTCCCGGAGAGGCGCGGGCAGCGGAGGGAGGGCGGGAGGCTCTGGGGTTGGCCGGACGCTAGCGCCCCGGCGGCGAGAGCGAGAACCCGGGGCCCAAGGGGTTTCTGGGGCGCGGAGCGCCGCCCTGAGAAGCGCCAGGTCGCGACCTGCAGCCTCCCACGCTGGTCTGGGCCGGCGCAGCGTCACTGGGAGCGACGGCGGCGGGACGTTCGCGACGCCTGACGTCACTCTCGGCGACGGCGGCGCAGCCTCCTGACGTAAGCACGCCGACGCGGTCGGTGGGCCGCTCCTGTGAGGAACGCGGGCCGCGGCTGCGCCCTCTCGGAGCAGAGGCGAGCTCGCCCGCCCGGCGCCCGTCGGTGGGCCTCCCTCCGCCCGCCGCCCGGTTTCAGGTCGCGCGGGGAGGCCTGCGGGGCGCCGTGTGTTCTCCCGCGCCGCGCCTCCCGACGCGGTACGTCGTCGGCGCCGCCGCTTGGCGTCATGACTTCCGGGGGCCGCGGCCGCCATCTTGCTCGCGCGGAAGAGCCGCGCCTGGGTGGGAGTCCCGAGCCGGAGGGAGCGGACGGCGAGGCCACCGCCATGCCGTCGTCGCCGCTGCGGGTGGCGGTGGTCTGCTCGAGCAACCAGAACCGGAGCATGGAGGCGCACAACATCCTTAGGTAGGCGGCCTGCGCCCTGGCCCAGCGCCCGTCCCCCGGCCGGCCCTCCGGCCCGAGCTGGGCGAAGGCTGCCTCCGCTCTCCCGGGCCCGGCGGGCCCTGAAGGAGGCCCGGCCCGGGCTCCCTGGCGCCGGGGCCGAGCGCTGCGAGGAGCGGAGGGCGCGGCCGGCCGCGCGGTGCCCCCACGTGTGCATACCTTCGCGGGAAAGTCCAGGTTCTAAGTTACCACGGTCCCGCGCCCCGGAACCTCGGCTCCTGGGAGACCCGGAAGGCTGGTGCTCCGGCGCACACGCCGGTTAGGGTCTAGGTAGAGACGGCAGTGTCTGGCGACTGTCCCCAGGGCGAATCGCCATTTATCAATCTTTTGGGAAACCTGCAGGACATAACCTCGGACAAGAAGAGGCTAAGAAAAAAGGAAAAAAAAGGGAAATGGCCTGTTTTGTCAACGTCAGGAGTTTGTGTGTTTGCTTCTGGCCACACGTTCCAATCTCACGTGAAAAACCCTCCCCAACCCTCTTGAAAGGCTCCCGGTGGTCTCTAAACGGCAGTCGAATTGGAGCTTCGCGTTTCTGTTTCAGTACTAACTCTTCTTCGGGGACCTGTATGTCTTTTTTTTTTTTTTTTAATTTATTGATTAAAGTATAACATATTTGTCCTCAACCCCCCATTCCAATCCCCCACCCCCCCTACTCATGCCCCCCCCTCCATTGTCCTTGACCACTGGTTAGGCTCATATGTGTGCACACAAGTCCTTTGCTTGATCTCTCCCTTTTATCCCCTCCCTCTAACAGTCTGACCCGTGGCTCCTTATCTCTGGGTCTGTTCTTGCTCATCAGTCTGTGTTGTTCACCATTTCCCCTAGATGAGTGAGATCATGTCCTACGGGAAATATAAGAATCAAAAATGAGACAAGCACTAATGGTTATGCTGAAAGGCATATGAATCAGTCTGTAGTGAGTTTCTTTCTGGGCCACCAGTTCTTTGGGACCCAATTCCAGTGTCAAACAGTTCCTTATGTGTACATGTCAGCAATGATACTTTAGTTCTGGGTGGTGGGCAAATGGTGGTACCTGTATGTCTTTAGTGAAAGTTTATTCCTGCTTGACAGTTTTTTTTCCTCAATCACTCGCATTATTGCTCAAGTTTGGAGCTATGGGGACCAGGGGTTTTCTCTGGATCCCGGTTGAGCCCAAACATCCAGACATAAATAAAAGTCCGCCACTGCGGTAAAACAAAATTGAAACTGCTTTTTCTCCCAGCGTTCCTATGTGTGGATGCTAAAGGACAGTAGTGCCTGGCTGACTCCTGAGTAACTTGGGAAGAGGAGAGTCCACACACACACACTGGTTTCCCCATCGAAGCTAGAAGTGTCCCGTGGCCAGGATCTGCTAATTAGGAGTGTGGTTCTTCCCAACCATCATCGGCCACACTGTCCACAGTACTCACTCTATGTCATTTGTGGGTAACGTGCGAAATGCTTCGAACGTAAGAAATCTGCAGGTGATAATTAAACTGTAGTTATTTTAAAACTAGAAATACGCTAGAATTACTTTGTGCTGGGTCACACCCCTAAACTGTATTATGTCTTTTATCATTAAAAGTTGGGTAAATTTAAGCAGCAGAATGCAGCATTCACACTCCTGGAAAATTACTCAATATTTTTATTTTTTTTTTAAATGTTTTTTTTAAATATATTTTATTGTTTTTGTACAGAGAAGAAGGGAGAAAGATAGAGTTAGAAACATCGATGAGAGAGAGTCATCAATCAGCTGCCTCTTGCACACCCCCCGCTGGGGATGTGCCCGCAACCAAGGTACATGCCCTTGACCGGAATCGAACCCAGGTCCCTTCAGTCCCCAAGCCGACGTTCTATCCATTGAGCCAAACTGGTTTCAGCTCAATTTAATGTTTTTAATTATAACAACAGGTGCTGTGGAGACCACCTCATGCTGCTGGTTCTGGCTGGTGATCCTTTATTTAAGTCCTTCTGCTTTTACGCATTTGTGTAATAAAGTTGGGATGAAATCTTAAGAAGAAAATGTCTTGCCAAAATCGGTGTGGTTCAGTGGATAGAGCGTCGGCCTGTGTACTGAAAGGTCCCAGGTTTGATTCCGGTCAAGGACATGTACCTTGGTTTCGGGCACATCTTCAGTAGAGGGTGTGCAAGAGGCAGCTGATTGATGATTCTCTCTCATCGATGTTTCTAACTCTATTCCTCTCTGTAAAAAAATCCATAAAATATATTTTAAAAAAGAAAAGGAAAAGTCTTAAAAATTCTCTGCAGCAACTTTGTTCGTGAAGTCGGTTTCAAAGTCATGCCTGTCTGATGCCCTGGGCTGGTCCTGTAAGCTCAGTTGATTAATGCATCAGCCAGATAATACCAAGGTTGTGGGTTTGACCACGTCAGGGCACATACAAGAAGCAACCAATGAGTGCATAAGTAAGGGGAACAACAGATTGATACACACCCCCCCCCTTCTCCTCTCTCTGAAATCAACGAATAAAAGAGATAGCAAGTTTTTAATAGCTCATAGTGGTGAGAGCCAGTACAGCATTGGGTCTCCTGTGGAAAGGGGGGCAAAAAAAAGCCAGAGTAAGAATTCTTTTTTGTGCTTTTACCCAGTTTACTATCTTTCAAGTTTCCTCACCAAGGGGCAGAATGAGGAAAAGGAGGTAAGTTTAAGTTAACATGTTATGGTGAATATAAGGCTATTTTAGACACGGCTCTTTATTTTCTAAAATGCCTGTTTTGGGGTGTGTTTTCCCTTGTTAAAAAAAAAATCTTTGCAAAATTCTCACTGAAGAAAATATGGAAGATGAAGATCACTCAAAATACTATTTTTCTGTGTCTAACCTACCCTTAAACGGAGATCAGAATGAAGCTCTGTAACCTCTTCACATCATGTTGTGAACGTGGTCTGATTGCATACTCATTTCTGGTTTTTTAAAATTATTATTTCATTATTTGAGAGAAACCTCGATCTGTTGTTCTGCTTCTTTATACATTCATTGGTTGCTTCTTGTATGTGCCCTGACCAGGAATCAAGTCCTTGGTGCATCTGGACGACACTAGCCTACTGAGGGATTTGTCCTGGGTCGCTTTCGTTTGGGTGCGTTGTTCCTGTGGTGACAGAGTGAGCGGTTGGGAACCTGCGGTCCAGGAGTTCAGAGGGACCCTGGCAGGGTGCCTTGTAGCCAGTCTCCCATTGATGGACATTTGGGTGTCCTTGCTCTGTTTCGCAGTTATACAGTGTCCACATCCTTGTGCCATATAAGTATCTGCACATTTTCTGGTTATGTCCTTGGCATAAATTCCAGGAGATGGAGTTGCTGAGTCAAAGGTAGACATGTCTTACATTTTCATACGTTTTTGCCAGACTGCCTTCCAGAAAAATGTCTATTTTTAAAATTCTTATTTCTTCACCATCTTTTCATGCTACCAGGGTAAAAGTATGAATCTCTCCTTCCTTTATTTATTTATTTAAATATATTTTATTGATTTTTTACAGAGAGGGATAGAGAGTTAGAAACATTGATGAGAGAGAACCATCCATCAGCTGCCTCTTGCACATCTTCTATTGGGGATGTGCCCGCAGCCAAGGTACATGTCCTTGACCGGAATCGAACCCGGGACCTTTCAGTCTGTGGGCCGACGCTCTATCCACTGAGCCAAACCTGTTTCGGTTCACCTTCCTTTATTTTTAAATTGCTTTGATATTGAACATTTTTTATGTATTTCTCACTGTTGAAAAACTACTTACATCTTCATGTATAATATTTGGATTGTTTACAGGGTTTAAAAGCATCTTCAGAAACTTACTGGAAGGTTTCTGTTACAATTAGAGCTGATGAAAGTCAGATTGAGACTTAGGCCTTAAAGGTGATGTTTGTGAAAAGCAAAGAAAAATGATGTGGTTGATGGCAAAAAAATCAAGAAAATTGTGTGCAGTCTGGTTATAAATACAAAAGAGTATGCATAGGAAAACAAATGAAATATCAAAAAGAATGTGGTACCTGAACACTGTAGGTAGTCTCTCAGTGAAACCCTGTCTTATTTTATTTTCCCTGTTGAATATCAGCTTGGGCTGCATTCTTTTTTATGTCGAATGCAAGTAATAATGCGTGTTGGCACTTTCTAGAGCTAGTCAGAATGTTCCCTGGGGTGATCATTTTTACCATTTCAGACTAAAATTTTTCAAATACCATTAAAGGGGGGCGGCATTAGGTTTTTAAGGCGTTGGAAGACTTGTATGCTTCCATAGAGACTCCTGTCCTTTGTACCTTATGGATTAAGATTTCCCTTTAGAGCCAATTAATTTTTTGTTCCAAGCTACCCCCTGCGTGTTAAGAGGCATGTTGATTTTTGGAAGCTACATTTCTAATTGTACGTGTAGCAATTCAAAACAGATTTTACAGACAGGCTCTGTGAGTTGCTGGACTGAGTTCTCTGTTTTCAGTCACAGCTCCTGGCGGTGTGGTTTGGGAAGACGGGCAGGGGCTGCAAACATGGGGGAAACGGGTGAGCCCATCTCCGGAGCTCCCCTCGCAGGTCTGTCCCAGCCTCATCTGACTGCACTGGGCACCCTTAGATGCCCACCCTGACGGGAGGAGATGTCACCCAGAACGGGAAGCCCCAGCTGGTGGCACCCTAGGTGCTCCGGTCATGGTCATTGTAGATGTGACAACCAATACTCCAGGTGGGAAAACGAGGGTTGAAGGAGGGATCCACGGGGTGGGGGTGGGGGTGCCACAGTCAACTGAGGTCCAGCAGTTCTGCGATGTGGGTGGTGCTCTCACATCTTCACATCATGACCAGAGCCTGTGGGCCCCAAGCCACACGGGAGAGAAGGTGCCCGGACCTCCTCCCAGAGGTCCCGCCCCTGGCTCATCTCGGACATGGGTGCTGCCACTCAGGGTGCCCAGAACCTCTGGTCTGAGCACAGCTACAGAAACGGCCTCTGTGGCTGCATCTTTGATGTCTCAGTCCTGAGAACTTATAGGGAACAGGAAGCTGACTGGAAACCATGTGGGACGGAGACCGGGTCTGAAGTCGGTCCTGGGAAGGACAAAGGACCACGCCTACCTTCATGGGCTCCGAGCAGCTGCATGGTTCTGTCTTGAGAAGCAGGGCCGGGTGGAGAGTTCCGTTGGGAGGTGACCGTTGAGACCAGGCACGGGATCAGCTCCGGCAGCTGAGCCTTTCTCCCTGCATTCGGGTCCTCTCCGGCCTTTCCAGAGGACAGACCCCAGCAGGTACATCAGGGGTGCGTCCCCCCGCCGGCGACTGCCTTCTGTTGGTGCTGGAAGGACGCGCACTGATGATTGTGGTGCTGCGCTGTGTGGAGGGGCAGCCCCCAGTGGCCAGCAGAGCAAGGTGGGCTGGGAGAAGACGGGGTCCGGGAACGAGGCAGGCGGGGCCTCCAAGCAGGCCTCCAACTGGGCAGTCTATGGCACGTTTGTCACAAGTTCAGGGCACAGATCTGCTTAGAAGCCGCTCGGTTTCATTCTTGGCCTTGTGGGGTTCTGGTAAGTGAGATCATAGAAAATGTTTATTGGAATGTGTTGCTAGTGAGAATGTACATTTTATTGGAATGTCTACATTTCAGAAGTGTGTCTTTCCAGTCCTGGCCAGCTCACAGTGCAGTTGCAGGCAGCATGTCGGTGGGACAGCGTGGGAGCAGCTGGCGGTGGGGCTGAGGAGCAGTGCCTCCCTGTGTGTGTGTGGAGGGACGCGGAGGGACCCTGTCCTCACAGGCTGTGTGCTCAGGAGGCACAGGGCTGGGCTGTCTCACCGGAGCAATGCTCCCCAGTGGGTCAGGCTCACACTGAGCACTGACCTCCTCATGATGCTCTGGCTTCTCTTTAACGTTAGCATTTCCCTCAGGTATTGGAGGGCAGGGAAACAGTTCAGACCCCACATTTAGCATGGTCTCTGATAGGTTTTGTTTGAGGGGGGGGGCAATCGATCAGTTACCTTCCGCTTGTGTCCTACTAGGAATCAAACCCGCCGCCTTCTGGTGTACAGGACATGCCCCAACCCACTGAGCCACACCGGCCGGGGCAGATAGGTTCCTTAGGATTTTAATGCTCATGAAGGTGTTCAGTAAATGCTTGTCTGGAAGGTTGCATTAACATAGAAAATAGTTGGCCGTTGAAACAAAGCCTGTTGTCAGGAATTTTATTCTAGTCCGCAGTTCTCTTACGTAAGAAACAAATGGTCATGCTGCACGGCTGTCATGCAAGATGGGCTGTTAGGTCGTTGCACCAGCTCAGAAGAAACAGTGCTTCGCTGCTAATTAGCCTTTTGCCACTTGTGAGCATTTTGCTGGGGGAGGAACAAACGGCATCCGTCTTATTTTTAAACCTGTTTGGTGAAGATCAGTCTGCAGGGTGGTGAGGACGGAGCAGGCAGCTCCTCCAGAGAAGCCAGCCAGCGGAGGAGCCTTGTCTGCGCGGCGGGGAAGATGGGGTCCCGGTTACTGGGGACGAGTTACTTTGAAGGGTCAGGAAAGGAGAGTGTTCTGTCTGGACGGACACCCAGGGAAACCTGACGCGCTGAGTGCAGGAGACAGGCCTGCCAGGTGCTGTCCCCGCAGGTCAGACCCAGACGGCTGCAGCAGGTGGAGGGGAAGGACCAATTGGGGTGGGGGGGGGTGTTTCCCAGAAGCCTCTGGGCGTGCTCCTCACTGTCCTGTGTCCTGGATGTTTTGTTTATTTTCTCGTCCCCCCAGGATCTGAGGAGAGAGATTTGGGTCTGCTCTGACCCCTGCGTGTCCCAGCAGTGGTGAGCTTCAGGAAATACCGTGGAACCAAACGGAAAGTGAACCTGCGGCCACAAGTGATAGTGTCTCGTGTTTGAAAGGTCACCACTGGGGCTTCCTGACTCTCTTGTGTGGCTCGGATGCCCTCACTGGGTAGATAGTTCGTCCATGATTTCAAGCTGTGCTTAGGCCCAGTTTAATACATTCTTGGTTTTCTGTTGTCGCTTTTAGAGAAACATTGACTTGTTGTTCCACTTATGCATTCATTGGTTGGTTCCTGCTCTGACGGGATTGAACCTGAACTTTGGTGAATCAGGACAATGTTCTAACCAAATGAGCTAACCAACCAGGGCCTAAGAAATTGTTTCTTAATTGATTTCAGAGAAGGGGGGTGCAATCAATGATGAGAGCCATTGATTGGCTACCTCCTGTACACACCCCTACTGGGGATCGAGACCCCAACCCAGGCATGTGCCCAATCAGGAATCAAGCTGTGATCTCCTGGTTCATAGGTTGATGTTCAGTGACACAGAGCCATGCCAGCTGGGCTGGACTGAATTTCTTGCTCAGATCCCAAAAGATTCTCTCCCCCAAAGATCCCGTTTCCTCATTGCAGACTCAGCTGAGACACTGCAGGGGCCTGCCAGACGCCCTCAGGTACGGCGTGCTTTGTTTTCCGTGCACGGAAGTCATGTATATGCACGCTGCACTGTAGTCGGTTGAAGTGTGCAGTAGCACTGTTTAAACCAACAGTGTCCATACCTTAGTAAAAACACTTTTGCTAAAAAGTGCTCGTCATCATCTTAGCCTGCTGGAAAATAGCACCCGAGCCCTGGCTGGTTTGACTCAGTGGATAGAACGTCGTCACCCTGCGGACTGAAAGGTCCCAGGTTCAATTCTGGTCAGGAGCACATGCCAGGGTTGCGGGCTTGGTCCCAGTAGAGGGAGGGCAGGAGGCAGCAGATCAATGATCATCTCTCATCGTTGATGTTTCTCTCTCCCTCTCCCTTCCTCTCTGAAAGCAATAAAAATATGTTTATAAGTAAGAGGGCACCGTAGACTTGTTCGACATAGGGTGGCCACGGGCCTTTCGCTTCAGGTCTGCATGCTGAGTGGCGTGTTTCTGTGTTTGGTGTCACCTGACTTGTTTAGCACTACCGCCAGAAGGCAGGCTCATGAAGGACGTGCGGCTCTGGAGACAGAGCCAGAGTGGTCCAGGTACGTGCTGAAGCTTTCACACTTAGGGCCACTCCTGGCCCCCAGCTTCCTGGCCACAGTGTTCTCGCCTGGTTAATGCACCCCTTTAGCCTACGTGCTTCTCAGCACTCAGTAGGACTCCCGGTCCTGGCTGCTCCCTCCACTGGGACGACCTTGCCTTCTGCTGGGCACAGGCCTCAGCTCCACACCTGTCCTTGGGGAGCTGTGAGTCTGTGTGTGTGTGTGTGTGTGTGTCCCCGCGGCTAGAGAAGCAGCTCCCAGTCCCGTTGGTGCTGTGACTGCTGGGCGCCCTGCTCTCCCATGAGTCCCTCTGCCTTCGGGAGGAGCCGTGAGGGTTAATGGCGGAGAGGGTAGGTCTGAGGAAAGGTCACGTTTCCCATTCAATAGCCAGTAGGTCGCTGGAGCGTTGGCAGTGCCGTTAGGGATCTCCAGGGGAAGTGGCTGGTGGGGGCAGTTCCTGGGGGCAGTGGTCAGCTGTGAGGGCAGCTGGGGAACGTGGCCTCCAGAGAAGCAGGCACCGGCCAGCCTTGTGAAAGCATGACCCCTGTCAGAGTCGAGCAGGTGAGGGCTCCTGGTGCTGCCTGGTTCCCACCGCTATGGTTGAGGTGACCTTTGTCAGCTTTGGTGCTTTAACAAAAAAGACCCTTTTCTTGTACCTCACCTGGGTTGGCGAGGGGCAGGGCCGGACCTGAGGAGGTGATGGCCATCTGCTCGGTGGCGGGGCCTGTTGCCTCTGGTCACAGCACAGGCTTGTAGCATCCTCACGCCCGGCCTCCCTTTCCGTCAGCGTTGGCTGTGGCATCAGCGGGGAGCGTCCCGGTTGAGGTGCCTGGCCCTTGCTTTGTTGGTCATTCATCTGTTTCCCCGACCAGTTCTGGGGTTCAGTGCGCGTGCTGCCCTCCCCTTTCTCAGTGGCAGAAAGTGCCCTGCTGTGTAGGTGGGCCTGCAGGTTCTGTCTGGGTGGTTGGGTGCTGCTGCCACCCGTTGTGGGACTGGTTGCGGGTGCCTACGGGGAAGGGTGGCTCCTAGAAGTGAGGGCTGGGTGGAGGGGACACCCGCTTTCACAGCACCTTATCCAGCGGCTGCCCAGTCAGCCAGCGGCCCCATCTGAGTGTGGCTTGTGCCCTGTTCGCCACCCAGCAGCCATCTGCCATGGCCCAGTGCGCTCTGGGTGCTGCTAGGGGTGCGGGGCGGGCGGCCCTGCATCTCCGTTATTTTCTGTTTTGTCTCTCCCCCCCCCCCTTTTTTCTCCCAATTTTCAGTTTATTTATTTATTTTTAAATATATATTTTATTGATTTTGTACAGAGAGGAAGGGAGAGAGATAGAGAGTTAGAAACATCGATGAGAGAGAGTCATCGATCAGCTGCCTCTTGCACACCCCCTGCCGGGGATATGCCCACAACCAAGGTACATGCCCTTGACCGGAATCGAACCCGGGACCCTTCAGACCCCAAGCCGACGCTCTATCCATTGAGCCAAACCGGTTTCGGCCAGTTTATTTTTTAATTTTATTTTTAATTCCTTTATTGATTAAGGTATTGCATATGTGTCCTTATTCCCCCCTTTACCCCCCATTGTCTGGTTTTTATGTGACATGCTACATGACTCTCTAAAAGTTGAATAAGGTGCTTAAAGTTAAGTATTTAAAAACGTGTTCTCGAACACCAGCAAGATGCTCATTCTGTTTATTCCCATCGTGCTCCTGGCTTGTAGGGTCAGTGTCTGGCCTAACCCAGCTGTGATCTCTGTCTCCTTTGTGTCTTTCAGCAAACGGGGATTCAGCGTCCGGTCCTTTGGAACAGGGACCCACGTGAAGCTTCCGGGACCCGCGCCCGACAAGCCCAATGTTTACGACTTCAAAACGACCTATGATCAGATGTACAACGATCTCCTTAGGAAAGACAAGGAGCTGTATCCCAGCGGTCACCCTTTTCAGGACCCCTGGGGGGTGGTCTGTGGCACAGGCATCGCCTGTCCCCGTGCCTGATCTGGGAGGCGGGTGGATCGTGGCTCCCGCCGCATGCTGCACTGGGTCCTCTCATCTCAGAGAACTAAGTGTGCGTTCCTGGTGCTGCTTGGACAGTGCAAGGGGTGGCACCCTGGGGGCCGTGGACACGGAGGGCACGCACACGGACACATGAAGTCCATGGTGACAAGGTCACGATATTACAGTTTAGGGGGGGGGGGGGAATTGCAGGCTCCGGTGCTTTTCTCCCTGCAGGGCCGCCCGCTTTCCTTGCAGGCAGATGTGTGCCAGTGGGTGTGTGTCCTGACCCACCCCTGGTGCTTCTCTGGAAGGTCAGGTCCATAAAAGGCCTTGTTTGTCAGCAAAGGACACCTGTTAGTGATTTGAGGGAACTTTGCTTCACATCATTCACATCAGGCACAGACAACAGGCTGGACCTGCTCCTTCAGACTCAGGAAAGAAAAGGTTTTGTGTTTTGTTTGTTTTTAGCTTAAATAGCAAACTTACTTTCTCACAGGTAGAGTGTAGGGATCCAGGATCGAAGTGCTGGCAGAGTTGGTCTCTCCGGAGGCTCTCTCCTTAGCCGTCTTCTCTCTCTGTCCTCACGTGGTTTTTTGGGAGAGGTACTTTTCAAACATAGTCTCTGACTGTGGCACGGCTGTGTGTGGTTATGGTGATCGCTGCCGAGGTTTTGACCAGGCACCTGCCACCCTGTGCTGCTGTGGACTCCTGGACCTCCGTCACTGCGTGTCCTGTGGCTCTCGGGTGGAGCCCAGCTGAATTGGGGTGAAAGGGACGTAGCACCAAACGGAACGCTTGGCCTCCATGTTGGCACAGGTGTTCTCTGTGCATCTGGCTCCGTTAGCCGGGGTGGCCCGGAGGTCTGGGAGCCGGTGTGAGCCCCTGCTCTCCTGCCAGGCTCCAGGCAGATGTGGGTGGGGCACTGGGGCAGGAACAGGCACCTATCGGTGCTGCAGCAGGCAGTTGGGAGTCTGGGGGCCATGGTGGCTGTGACTGATCTGGATGGCACCTGGAGCCAGTCCTCCTGGCTGTGCGCCAGGCAGACGGGAGCCCTCGCAGGTGGGTGGTGCGTGTTCTCGGGCCCTTTCTGAGAACCCCCGGTAGGGCCTGCGTTGGGGGAAGCTCCCCGAGTTTCTGGTGGTGAGTCCTCACCTGTGTCCTGTCTCCACGGCTCTACTCGCATTCCTGGGCCGAGAAGGGAATCTGGACACAGGCTCTCCTAGAGGCAGCCTCTGGACAGTCTCCGGGTCCTTGGAGCCGAGATGCCCTTCGCCTCGTTACCCAGACCGTTCCAGGGTCCCTTTTCCCTGAAACGGTCTGGGTCTTAGCTCCAGGCTTCCGAGACCCCGGCTGGTTCTGAAGATGCTCTGTCAGCACCGTTCACGTTTAAGCTCACACCCACGGAGAAGCCAGGATGGGGTGCTGTGCTTTCCCTCCCAGATTCACAGAGGCCCTTCGCAGCAGCCAGCAGCTGACACCTTCTTCTTTTTATTTAAAAAAATATATATTTTTTAATGGATTTTCCACAGGAAGAGAGAGGGATAAAGAGTTAGAAACATCGATGAGAGAGAATCATTGATCAGCTGCCTCTTGCACACCCTCTACTGGGGATGTGCTCACAACCAAGGTCCATGCCCTTGACCGGAATCAAACCTGGGACCTTTCAGTCCACAGGTTCATGCTCTATCCACTGAGCCAAACCGGTCTCGGCTGACACATTTTTAAAAGATGAAATCCAGAGGGACTCTGAGCAGGAGGGTGATGTGCGTGTTTCTGATGGCTCAACAGGGGCAGGACCCACTCCTCAGAACTCAGTGTCCCCCGAAGCATCTGCTCCAAAGAAACTGCGTGTGTGTGTGTGTGTCAGTCCGTCCGTCCGTCCCTGCCTCTGCTGTGTCAGGAAGCTGGGGGCGGGAGGCTGTGCCCACTGTCACCAACAGCACTTGTCTCCTGACAACCCTGATAGGAAAGCCCCCTTCCCTCTTGATTGCCCCCAAAGCTCTGGGCAGAGGGGACACCTTTGTTGCTCTATTGACCTCACTGGGGTGGATTTCTGTCTCCTGGGGTGTGGGGGAGGCGGCGGAACAACCTTGTGCTTGGTGCTCAGCAAGACTCCAGAGCAGCCCTTGCCAGTCATGGAGGGTATCTGCTCCAGAGGTCACCAACACTGCAGACGCCCAGGGTGAGGGGGAGTGGCAGCAGGGGGGTCGCCGTGGCAATACACACGAGAGGAGATACTTGATTAGCGATGGGACACGCGTCTGGCTGCAGGAGGCCTAGCGATTTGCTCCTGGTTCATGCAGCAGAGAGCAGAGCCCTGTCTGCCTGGGACAGAGTGCCTGGCTGTGTTTGCGGAAGTGGCGGTTATAACCAGTAGGAAGCTAGAGAAATATTTTAAGCCGTAACATGGGGCAAATGCATTTTCTTTGTTGTCAATCCTCACCCAAGGATATTTTTTCCAGTGATTTTTTGAAACTATATTTTACTGATTTTTTTACAGAGAGAAAGGGCTAGGGATAGAGTTAGAAACATTGATGAGAGAGAAACATTGATCAGCTGCCTGCTGCACACACACTCCCTCCCCCCCACCAGGAATGTGCCCACAACCATGGTACATGTCCTTGACCAGAATTGAACCTGGGACCCTTCAGTCCACAGGCTAAAGCTCTATCCATTGAGCCAAACAGGTTAGGCATCCATTGATGTTTAGAGCGAGCGGGGAGAGAAAGAGACACATTGGTTGGTTGCCACCCACACCCACCCTGACTGGAGCTGGGGGTGGAACCTGTAGCCCAGATACAGGCCCTTGACCGAGAATTGAACCCAAGACTCTTCAGTGTGCAGGTCGGTGCTCTTTAAAAAAAAAATATATATATATATATATATATATATATATATTTTTTTTTTTTGTTTGTTTGTTTGTTTGTTTTGTTTTTTAAATATTTTTTATTGATTTTGTACAGAGAGGAAGGGAGAGAGAGAGAGAGTTAGAAACATCGACAAGTGAGTCATCGATCAGCTGCCTCTTGCACACCCCCTACTGGGAATATGCCCGCAACCAAGGTACATGCCCTTGACCGGAATCGAACCCGGGACCTTTCAGTTCCCAAGCCGACGCTCTGTCCATTGAGCCAAACCGGTTTCGGCTTATTGTTTTTTTTACAGAGAGGAAGAGAGAGGGATAGAGAGTTAGAAACATCAATGAGAGAGAATCATCGATCAGCTGCCTCTTGCACACCCCCTACCGGGGATGTGCCTGCAACCAAGGTCCATGCCCTTGACTGGAATTGAACCTGGGACCTCTCAGTCGGCAGGCGGTGCTCTTAACCACTGAGACATGCCGGCCAGGGTCAGCAAATGACTTCCATGGAGAGCGCGACAGGGTTCTGCAGGCGGCTCGCAGCTGCCCGTGCAGCCCAGTCCCTGCGTGCACTGACCTCACGGTATTCCCAAGGACTTGGTTAAACAGCAGGGTGGCTTTCTCCACCCACAGGAGCAGGAGTGAGGTTAGCCACAGTTCATTACCACTTCCCATGGGGGTTGTCTACTTATAGGCCAGGAAGCCTGCATTCACGGACCCTCCAGACGAAATCTCTTGAGTCCCGTTAACAGGAACCCTGGTGTGTGCCGTCTGTCCATCCAGAGGGCACCCGTGGCTCCCGTGCCTCGGCAGCTTCTAGAACATTTTCCCATCCCGGCTCGCCCAGCCCCGCACTGCGCACCTCAGTGGGTGCACTCCGGGCCGGCTGTGGCTGTGGACGTGATGTGTCTCCTGGCCGCGGCCACACCAGCAGGGTCTGAGGTTCCCGTGTGGGGTGTGCATACAACAGTCTTTTCTCTCTGAGACACAAGCCGAGTTGGTTCTGTCTCTTGTATTTGATGACATCTTTGGCCTCAAACTTCGTTTTTAAGTGCACACTTCCCCCCCTTGACCTTAAATTCTCTTCCCTTTGCCACGAATTGGCTGTGAATGCAGGCAGGCTTTTACTTGCTTTTTAAGGCAAATGGCTCTGTAATTTACAATGCCGTTGCCCACCAAAAGGTTTCAGACGGCCCGGAGCCTCCTGACAGAGTGGCTCACCCTGAGTGTTCCCTGCGGGCACTCGTGTCACTCCAGGGGTTTCCATTTTCCACACGAGCCTCCTCCAGGGACCCGCAGCTCCCGCTGAGGGGTCCGGCTGAGCCCGGAGCGGCCCTGGAGAGCCCTTGGCGAAAAGATGGTGCTTTCTCCCAGTGGAAGGATGACCGCCTGTGGCTGCGTGGGCCCGCGGGGCCGGAGGGAGGGGCTGGTCTGTCAGGAGGCTCTGGGCTGTTTGAAACCTTTGGTGGACAACGGTGTTGTAAACTACAGGCCCATTTCCCTTAAGAGGCAAGTAAAAGCCTGCCTGTAAGCATGTTAGTGGGTAGTGGGGTTTTAGCATGTGACCAGTTGTTCCTAAACGTGGATTTGAAATTGGAGTGTACCCCTTGCCTGAATCCTGACTGTGTCTGCATGTGTGTGGACAGCGTAGGAGCCCGTGTCCCGCATGCTTTTGTCTCCGGGTCTCCGGTAATGAGTGAGTCACTGTTCTTCATCTCGTTCTATTGTCTTCTAGGCCTGGCTTAATCGTGTGTACCCGCTGCTTCACTGTACTCTTGCCCTGGGGAAAGGCTAAAAATAAAAGTGACTTCTCGCACTGTGTGCCCACAGCCTCCTGACCTCCGTGCTGGGTGTGCGGTTCGTGGACACAGCAGCTCGAGGGGCCATGTCCCATCACTGTAGCTGCAGCCACTGGCTGCTCGGAAACTGCTTAGGTCTCCTCAGCCATGTTCCCAGCTGGCCTGCTTTCTCGTGCTGTGCTAGAGGGTGTGAAGAGCTGCCTGGTCCTCCCCCAGGCCGGGCGCTCTGTGCTGGCGTCCCTGTCGCCCGCCTGGCCTGCATGTG